GGTTTGTTAACTCTTCGGGTACTCCGTACCCACGTGTGGAACACACCAGGTGTAAACCCGTGTAACCCCGTCACAGTACCAGTAATGCCAAATTTGCGCGTTGGGCCATGGAACTCTCTCAACTACGATTTAAAGTGTTCCATAAACCTGGAACGGCTATGGGGCACGTGGATAGTTTGTCACGGTTGTACACCGAGACAATTGGAGCACTAACCATGCGCGAGCTGCTCAAACGAGGCCAAGGCGGAGGGACAAAGTTTCACTCCGGTCGGCGAGCGCCCTACCGTGCCGACAACCGCTGTGGATGTGTCCCCCACTGGAGAAAGAACCCCGCGAGTCCTGAGCTTCGTACTGCCCAGTCGACCGAGCCCCCTGAGCAACTCCTCATTTCGCCGGTGGCCGTCTTCGGCCTATACCAAGAGTGATTCAAGGATGAGCAGAAGCGGACCCCTTGGATACAAGCCATGATAGCCTTCCTCGACAGTGGCGCTTTGGCTCTAGACCCTCAAGTGCGAACTAGGACAATCCTGATGGCCCCTAATTACGCCGTTAAGAATGGAGTGCTCATGAGGAAAGCTCATCTGAAAGCCAGAGCCAGCCACGCCAAATCCATAGAGGTCCCCGTGATCCCGCTTCCTTTCATCCCTACGGTGCTGCATCACTGCCATACGGACGTATTGGCAGCCCACGTGGGAGTCACCAAGACGCTGGACAAAGTCCGGAAGCATGCCTATTGGCACGGTTAGAAGCGCGATACGATGGAATATGTGAAAGAGTGCACCACTTGTGGGTGCTGAAAAGGCTACCGACCGTGGAAGTATGTCCGCATGCAGAATATGCCTATCCGAGAGCTATCGTGACCCTTCTCATTGCTGGTAGTAGAACTTTGGTGACCACCCCGCAAGGGAACAAGTTCATCCTAGTCTTCGCGGACTACTTCACTAGGTGGGTCGAGGCTTTTCCGGTCCAACAGTTGGACACTGTGACTTTCGTGGAAATTATGGTGAACGAAGTGATCTCCAGACATGGAGTGCCCGAGCGACTGCTGAGCAATCAGGGATCCAACTTTATTTTGGGATTAGCACGGTCTTTCTACGAGACTCTGGGAATCAAGAACATGTACGGGGCCGCCTATCCCCTCAGACTCAGGAACTGGTCGAACGCTTCAATGGTACTCTCCTTAGCATGCTACGCTTGTTCGTTCGTGAGTCGCAGGACGATTGAGACCTTTATCTGCCAAGAGTGCTGTTCGCCTACCGGACCTCATTCCATGAAGCCCTGCGCGATTCGCCGTTCTTCAGCCTGTATGGGAGAATCCTGTACTCCCTCTAGACTTGGCGTTCCTTAAAACCAACAGATACTGGAAGAGCAATGAAGTGGCTTCGTATCGACGCCGACTGTTCCTGTCCCTACGAGACACCCGCCGAATGGTGGAGCGCCAACTACTCAAAGCTCAGGGACGCCACGAGAAGATATTAGGCGCCCAGAAGGCAGTGACGTTCGAGGGAGGAGACCCGGTCTGGGTCTACCAATACTTCCGGGCTCGCCGTGGGAACGAGGGACCAAGAGACTTGCCTTCGCTTGGCATGGACCGTACTGAATAGTGGAAACTGTAGGCGAGAACGCTTACGGGATTGCGATTCCGTCGCATCCCAACAAGGTTGTTACCGTTAATGTGAATCGCCTCAAGACGTTCAATGGGCGATGAAGGCCATTCCCCTCGAACGTTCCAGATGGGATTGAAGTAAGACCCGAGGAGGATGACGAGGGGCCCCTACTCGAAGAAGATTTACCGTCGACAAGCTACGTGGAGCGTCTTTCCATAGGAGGGGAAGAGACGGTGGTTACTGGAGTCGACTACCCAGTGATTGACATCCTAGCCCGCCGGATAAAAGACCGAGAAGTACAGTGTCTAGTACTGTTAGCGACGTACGAGACTCTATGGCGACCCAAACACACGCTCCTGCCCACCTATGGTCCAATGATACAAGTTTTCGAGGATGCGCACAGGAAGAAAGAAGGACTGTCTGAGCTTCGTCGGAGCGCCCGCCTTACTGAAGCGAACGCAGCAGTTGATGAGGAAGTGTAATGGGCTTGCTACGTGCCCACTACTTCGGCTTACACGTTAGCGCACGTGTATGAGGAAGCGTAGTTTGCTTTAACTTAGATTAACTATACTTACGTCTCGTAAGTATAGATTTACTTAAATAAGAAAAGCAAAAGCCGATTTACCGTAAAAATGAGAACTGTTATTTATGTTTTATGTTTTGTGTTTGGGTTTCCTCCTAAAGTGATATTCTAAATGAAAGGTATTTGCCAACGAGTGGTTGGCAGAATCCTGCTAAGCTAATTGGTTGAAAGAGATCGCCTTTCAACCAATAGGAAGTCTAAATGCACACAGACCAGTGGTCTGTCAAATGTAACCATTGGTGTATCTCACACCAATTGCCGTAATCAAGTGGCTACATGTAGCCACTTGCGTGTATCCCCGTTACACGAAGAGCTGCTTTTCTAGGGTGAAGGAGGCTCCCTACTGCGTCCTACCAGGAGGCCCCTCTGTCGGCCCTTTGCGAATTTCCCTTTTGGCACGGTTCGTCTACGTACTGTGCCAAAACGTTCTGATTTTCTCTTTCTCTCTCACTCTGGATGTGTGGATTTCGATTTTCTCTGGATTTCTAATTTCGACCTATATTTTGGATTGTACTCGATGAACATGCTTGCTGAGAGGAGCTCAGTATCCCATACCCACCGGGAACTGTCACGACTAAGGCGATAACGAAAGTAACGGGAATCGTTGCATTCAATTACTGGACTACATGAATAAGGGTCGCTGAAATGACACTGTCTTCAGCTAATTTCGCAAGCCTAAGTTTTCGACTTCGGCACTTCCGCGTCCCCAGCTGGCCGTCCTTTTGAACGTGTGCATTTTGCAGGTGGCGATAACTCTGGCGTCGGACTACGGGAGCGCCTCTGACCTAATAGTGAAGAACGACGAGCCCCGGAACGCTGAGCAACGGAAGCCGTGCGCCGAGCCTGGCGATAAAGCTCGAAGTCGGCGCGGTTACTGGCACAGTCCGTTGGACCAGCGACAGCGAACGAGTAGCGCGTTGGGGAACTGAGGAATGCTTCAGAAGGATCGTCGACTGTATTGCAGGCTGGCTGAAGCGCTCTCTCTTAGTCGCGGAACGAGTAGAACGCTCGTCCGCCGCGGGGACAGAAGCGACCTCGCTCGTGGTCGTCGCCGTAGCAGGTGGTTTCTCTTCGGTGTCGTCATCGTCTAAACCGGATGTCCGAACCTCGCCTGGCCCTCTTGCCGCGAAGGTGGCGTCCGAGAACATGAAGTGGGTCCAACCCGCGCGTTGTAATTCGCGTTCGTCGTAGGCTGGGGCCGTGGGCTCCTGGTACGTGCCTTCGCGTAAGGCTTTCGCCTCTTTCGCTTCACGCTGGACAATTTTCGCACTGTTTCGAAGACTATCCTAGGGCCATCCTACTCCGAACCACCACGATTGACTTTTACGGCACGAGATAATGTCGTGAAGGATGCGAGCTAGAGCTCGATCGCTCAACCGGTGTTCCTTCTTGGGGTTGTTCGGGTCTAGAGCTCCGAGATTCACTAGAAGCGAAGTCAGATTGGTGAACCCTCCTTCGTCCAGATGAAACGGTTGGAGAGCGCTCTTCATTTTCCCCGTGTAAGCGTCAGGATCCCGACGCAACAACTCGCGGAGGTTTTTACGTTGACCGGACCATAATACGATTTGGCGTCTCCTGTATTCCGCCCTGGCTGTCCTCCCATCCACATAAGTCAACGAATGCTAGTACAGGCCTCGAACTGGCTCAGGAAGCCGACGTTTCGATGCACATGCTGAGGAACTTGATCCGAGCAGCGTGAGCTTGCATCTTGAGCTTCCGACGACTGCTTAGGAGTTGCTGCGACCGGCATGGAATATCCAGCTGCCAGTCGAAGAACGCTGGGCGAAACTACATCCACCAGCGCCAGTGCTCAACGTGAATGTGGAAGAAGGCGTCCTGATCATACCACGCCTCGGAGTCGGTCCATGGATAGACCATGGATAGCTTACATCCTTGAATGCGGCTAGCTTGAAGAGGGCTTCCAAGTCGTCGGCAATGTCCTGTGGAGTGCCCACGGTGAGGCCGAAGTGAAAGTAGCGCTTCAGGGCTGGCTGAGAGCACGGCATTGCGCTGCTTAGTGAGGGCGAACGCTCCCTCGGGGTTTTCTCCTATTTAGACTTGGACTTCTCCTTCTGGACTTCTCCTTCCTGAACTTCTCCGTCTTGGACTTGTGGCTCTTCTTGACCGGATTGGCTTCCCCAACAGTTGACTCTCCTTCTTCTGGAGCAAACACGGGATGTGGCAATGGCCTACGAGCCTCACATTGGCGGGATGGCAACCGCTGGAAATGAATGGAACCCGACGAACTGCGTGCGGGATCGCCATCTCAGTCAATAACCGCTTCGGCCATGTCGTCCGAGATTTCCAAACCAATCGTGGCTTCATTTACCGAGAGAACGCCCCTGAACCGTTGGTAGAACCCAATCATCACGTCCCGGCTTTTTTTCTTCTGTGAGGTGCGAGGAGTCGTCGTTCTCCTCGTCTTCGAGAAGGACCCGGATCTTAGCCAGCGTCGTCGACTTCATCGACGTAGTGGGGGTTCGTGTGCTCGAAAAGAGATGGTCGTGTGAGAGAGCTCGTGTGGCCCGGCGAGCGTTTGAGGATGAGTCTCGAAAGAGCGAATGGTTAGCCTAGTTCACTTTCTCTCAGGCCTCAGCCACTATCGGGGGATACCACTCCTAACGGTTGGGTGAGTGCGTGGTCGGGACTAACCACCAGATTGAAGAACGGTAGTGGGACCGGGAACGTCCACTCGTTTGAAATGTCTAGCCCCTGGTCTAGACTTGGCGTCTCTCTCGAAACTTCGACCACGGTACCTATCGCTCTCCGACCTTTCTCAATCCACTCCCAATTATACTTGAAACCACGACATGGACCTCGACGGCTTCTGGGACGCTACAGTGGGCGAGTACGTCCGATGGGACCTTTGGCCAGCTTACCTCAGCGCTGTCCTAGTCTGGGTCTCACCAGCCCGTTGCAAGATGTAGGTGCGGCGTTTACACTGCAAGTTTGGCAAGTGACGCGTATGAATGGAGATCTCTGGCGCCTAAGCGCACTACGATACCACGATATGATCATCAATGAGAAACTACGCGGTTTAGATGGACCTACTTATGCCCTATGAAACGGTCTCTTTGCGGTCCCAGAGCTGGTCCTCCGTGACCGGTACGCATACGTTTTGCGCAGGTGGTGGACGGCTTATCGTGTGACTTATGGCGAGTACCTACCATGTCTAACAGTGCTAACCTTCTGCTCCGTGGGTCGTTATGTGTGCACCTTCGGAGAAGCAATAGCCGCCATGTGGGGTCGGTGTTACGAGTTTGGTGAAGGTGGCTTTGGATTGCCGTCGTCCTAGTATCTCTGATCCTGTTCTTGCCAATGGCCCTATACGACGCGCTAGAGTATGTGTCGTGCGGTCCGGTGGGACTATTCCTACTCCTACTATTATTCAACGCGCTGAATATGGTATTCTCGTGGACCAAGCATTACGTTGGCATCTCACTGGTCATAGTGGGTGTTGGGCTGTTCTCACATCGGTGGCATCTCTGCACAGAATCGACCGTAATGCATTAAGTTATTCCCGTTGCTCTCGCCTCGAACGCACTCGACAAGTTAACGGAACGCTGCCCTACGCGTTCGTACCGAACAAGCCAACGCCGAACGCTTGCGAGCTCCGGACGGTGATCCCTGTGACGACTACCCAGCTGCTGATGGCGAGGCTTCCGACAACGCAGTCGTCGAAGGAGGTGAACACCCTCATGACGGTACTGAGGCATCTCCTCCGGACATTCTAGACGACTTTACGGCCGTGGAAGTTTTCGTAGTGGACGTCCTACGTGGCCTCAGGACTCTCTCCCAGCGTCCTGCTGAGGCAAGCGCTACCACTGCGCCCGCTCGTGCCTACCATGCCTAGGGCAGCCTTGCCCTGCGGCCGGTACCGTCACAGACGACTTGAGGAACGCAAGGTCCCTCTGAAGAGGTGGACTCTCTCAACCTAGAGTCGTCGGGACGGGAGGCACGGCGCTGCCTGGCACCTGCGTATGGCGACAAGACGAAGAGGTGTCACCAAGATGAAAATCGGAGTATATTTTAGTAGTCAAATAGTGTCCTACAGCGTGCAAATCTAGTAGGAAGGAACGCGCGGTGACGTGCTCCCCTCACTCGTACATTTTCGCTACCTTTCGCAAGACGACGAAAGAAGAAAAAGAACAGCAAGAAACAAGTCGTGTGTAGTTATATTGCCACTGTTCTTATCGTCACTACTGTACCGTGCCTGCCTATACGAGTCCTTCTAAGATCAATCCGTTGCCTGCCCGACCCCGTCAGGAGAAGGTGTACGATACAATGCGTGGCAATTGTGAGCTCGTTGCTTTACGGCCGTAGATGATTTTCTAAGCTCCAAGGTCCAAGGAGAGAAGTATTTGGGAATTTGAATATATCTCATTGATGCCGAGTACTACTTGGCATTCGTCATTTTCGGCCAACTTATGGCGAGCACATGCGCAAACCGGTCCTTCGCTGAATTAAGAGCACTCTAGGCGACTTCAATCTGGCCATCAACAACTTGCTCGGGGCCACCACTGACAGCGGGCCCGACGTCAAATGGAAGATGACAGAAGGACTTCAATTGCAATGCGAGTGGTGCATTCGACGTTTGGTGAATGCCACTACGATAATAGCATGTGGGGTGAATCGAAACGCCAAAACTAAAAATATGTCGGAGGTGATTGCCCAGACGATCTACCAAACGTCCCGAACAGAAATAATGGGGACTTAATGGGGTCTCTGATGTCTCTTCTTGGTAAAGACAACACAAAGAAGATAATTTCCTACAAGCCACATTGCTTCATGGGATTAGCAGTAAGGATTCGACAAATTCTCGAGAAGTAAAGGATACTAGAGGTCTGGTCCACAAAGCGCACAGCACAGGCAATTCGCGACAGAGTTAACGTGAGTGACATGCCGGTGGGGTTTCACTTGTAAATGATATAGCGACCTTGGAGCAAGTTTTGTCACTTCTTGCTCCAATCGAACTAGTGAGTAAATTTGGTGCTCAAGTGGGCAACTGGTTAGAAGATCAAAGTGTTCGTGAGCCGCGACAAGGTAGGCAGGTAACGTTTCTTCAGTATTGGTAGCACCAACAAAAGTCTCAGCCCTATCGCTACTTGCTACTTGTCGCTCAAATTGTATTCGCAATACCTTCATCGTCTGCTCAAATCGAGCGTAATTAAGGCAATAGTTGACAGATGCTAATTCGCTTCGAACCTCCGCTAGTGCCGCCAACACCGACATGTGCACCTCGCTAAGTCAAAAACGGCATTTCATGGACGTGTTCCAATGTCACAAGCTGAAGAAACGATACTTATTAGCATATCCCGAAGAAGGTGACACTAGATCTTTCTTCAGATACGGAACAACGTGTTGACTGGAAAACAATAACTATAGATTGCTTCTTTCTCTTTCTCTTTCTGATGCTGACTGAGTTTGTAGACTAGCTTCGTTATCTGCTGCATTTATCTGCTGTCTAAATCGTAAAATTTTACGCATTCAATAAAGCTTGATATTTCTCCTCAATGGCTCCTGATGTTACCGTTAAGAACATCGTCATGCAACGGATGTCGATAGAGCATCTCCACTGGTTCGCCTGACGCCTATATCATTTTGTAATGGCAAAACAATTTCGCTAACACGACTAACACGACGTAGTTTTCACAGTTAGGCAATACCCATGGTTTTGATGTACTAAGCAGCACGAAAACATCCAGGAAACTACAAGCTTGTCAACTTTTCAGCGTATATTAGTCAATTGTGTGCTTTCAAACCTATTGATATGAAGCGATCAGCACCCACACATCAACAATTCAAACGATGTGAATATATGTGAAAAATATAAAGACCTACCAAAAGAAACTGTTGCCCTACTTTGTTGCGTCACTTTGTTGTCGAAGTCCTGTTGCTCTCACTAAAACTCGATTGTGAAGGCGGTGTAGCGCTTCAGCACATTCTTTTTCCAGCAAAGATTTACCTGGAGCTGGGGATTTACTTAGGTGTACTTTGTCTTTTCTTGGCCTCGCTTCGTCGAGCGCTCTTCTTTGCCTTCTGCGCGACCGCAAACACTTTAACCCCTTGAACGCGACGGCCTGTATCAGACACGTTTAAAAAATCGTAATCCTGGACCATACACGATAAAGATTTTTCACTTGATTTTTGTATGTGTATATACACTTTTTACGTCAAATAGGGTACGGGGTGCCTGCATGTCTCACATGATCTGTTACGCATCTATCCATTTTCCAAAATTATAATTAGAAAGTTTTAGTGTTGTGTATGCCACACTCGATAAAATCCTACGGGTCAATGCTCCAGCACCACTCCTTTGACTCATTCCAGAATTTGCCTGTTTTGATACACCTGTCGGATTTTCGTGCCCGTTGGACCGAGCTAAAAAAGGGGGAGGGGGGTGGACGTCAAAAAGGGCAGTAGGCCTGTCCGACCATCAGACGTATTTGAAGCCGAGAAAGACGAGGAAGGACACCCGAGGCGTCGATTTTTCCGTGGGGGAAGAAGAGTAAATGCACTATTTGGACCGTCTCGATATTGGCGAGCAGGTATAGCTTGATTTCAGTATATTCAGCAATTTTAACATGACCGGGGCATTCAGCGACAGCTCCAAAAGCCTGAAGCGGTTACCGCCAGGCTGGA